CGACATGACGGGAATACCAATGGCTAAGATAGCTCCTGTATTACATCTACCATCGCTCAGGACCTTGGAGCTTCACGACATATCATACGGTGTCCCAACAATTGGCATCGACCATGGATCTTGGGATATACGTCCAAGGTCGTCTCGGGTGCACAACATCTCCATAATCTCGCCGTCTGAACCGCCATTAAATCACATAACACAGTTGTTACAGTCATGTGCGACTGTGTCAAGCTTCCGATGTGATCGACCCGATAAACCCGATGACAACATAGTGGACTGGCATTCTGCACTCCTCGAAGCTGCAAGACCACATAGCGAAACCCTCAAAAAGCTCGAACTTCGGACCGACGAACATGGTGCACTTACCTGGACGGATGAGTGGCCGCGAAATTTTTCCTTATGTGAAATGAAAGAACTGGAAGAACTGGAACTGCACTACACTGCCGTTATGGGCAAACAACGAGGAATCCATTACGATGAATTACCCGAGACGCCAGAACCTGCCCGATCGCTCCGTGATCTACTGCCACCAAATCTAGTCGAATTAAGACTAAGGTATGATAGATCCGCCATGAACGCCAATGTCGACTACACCGCGGAGATACGGGAACTTGTTCAAGACGATGTAAACTTCCCCCGCAAGCTCAAAAAGGTGAGCGTTCAATACGTTCATGACGGTGTGCAGTTCACATTCCCCTTTTCGCTCCACAGCCTTCAGGAATACTTCAAGGCACATGGTGTCGACTTTCACTATATTGTCAAGTGCGAGATAGACAATCTACGTAAGTGCTTCATGTACCCGTAAGCTCGGCACATTCTGATAGCGTTGTTGTAGATGAACTGGACTACTTAGTGGCTACTCTGGCTGCTATGGGCTACGACGGCGCTTACATGTGTAAATGGTTCATAACGGATAATAACTTTTGGATGACATCCGAAGTACTGCACGACAGGGTAATGGAAGAGATCAGAGCAGCTGAAGAACGTCAAAAGGCGCATTAGTCTGAGGCGGCGATAATAACGCGGCCACGACGGACTCAGAAAGCTTGGGTTTTATTAGGAAGCCGCGCCTATAAGCTATAATCGATTGAACTGTCTCTAGGTCCTACACGCTTCATTTCCAGTGATCTCCATCCCAAATCACCAAGTGACTTCCCCCGATCGTTGGAGGGGCGATCATACTCATATCGGAAAACTGTAATCGATTCCATAATTCTGCCACGCTGTCTGCCTTCATTGGCATCCAGCCAAAGTAACGTTGCCGACCAACCCGCGGGTTTCGCGAGACATAGTCTTCTGGACGGTAGTCGGCATCCACAGCCTTGATGACGGAAGCGGTGGGGTCTGATAGAACTTCGTCATCGGCAAAAAGAAAGATTCGGTGTAGGTTGTAGTCCGTATTCATTGGTTGTTCGCCCTCGCCTTTGTTGTACAGCTCGCGAAGTTGATCCATATCGAGACCAGCCAAAGCAAGGTCTGAGCGCGCATCGAGACGGAAGAGCGCCCACAATCGTTGGAAGTCAGGATCGTCTTCTTCGGTTTCAGTCGCGTCTAAAGCCCCTTCGCGCGCATCGGTTTGGATCTTCTGGAGAAGTCGCTGCCATTGCTGGTCAGATGAAGGCCCGTAGTCCGTACGGTAGATGGTAAATCCCCAGTTCCTGTGGCGGACAAACTCATCGTCTTCATAGACGCAGAGGTTGCTCATCCATTCTTTGACGGTGGTAGTCATCGGGGACGGAAAGGAGGATGTATTGATTCAAGATGTGTAGAGATACGGATGAAGAGATTCAAAGGTTGTAATGAGATGCAACCTTGGAAATGCGATTATTCGAAATACAACAGCTTGATTGATGATTTATGTAACGATACGGGGTTTAACGCGTTTATAGCTTTCGCATTACGAGAGTTTAGGCCTAAACACCTAGGCAGCCATCTGCGGGTGGGTCTGCGCACAGACAGTGCTGCCTTGCGACCCTCCTGCATAGGCAGGTATATATCTGAAGTGCGCGGTTGAGGTTTGAAGGTAATTTAGGTTTCTGGACATACGCATAGCATAGATACTCAAATATTTCATGAATTGATTATGTGGTCAAGTATTGGTTAGCAAGGTTGCGCCAATTCATGGGTACCAAACTTCGCGAACTTCTCAGCCACCATATGGACCCTATTAGAGACGCTCTAATGCAACTCATACCCAGAGAAAATTTAAACTCATCCTCGAAGGAGGTTTCATGCTGCGAATGCAAGGTTCTTGTCTCTTTTTTCTTTCGCACACTACGACTATTTCCAGATCATAGCACCACTTCAAGACGGGTGAAGAAGATTCACAAACAAATCCGACAATAAATGCACCGCATTTCCTTCTCTCAATATGCCTTCGCAACTCCCTCTCTCAAGGAACCAGATTGATTTCGTCCCAAAAGTGCGCCGACCACGCGAAAAAAGGTCACATGCGTCGCTGCGAAAGAACAGCCTTGCTGCTGCTTGCAAGAGTACAATACCGGTTGCACCGCCTAAAGAAGCGCCCAGTCATGGTTTGCAGTACTTTCCTCTATGGTTAGCTGCTAAGGCACCTTGGTTCGGGATGGACTGGTGCTTCAATCAGGCCTTCGACGGTTTGGAAGCTGTAGCGAGATTGCAAAGGAATGGATTTCAGAATCAAGAGATGGACTACCTAGCGAATACCAACTAGCAGAGAGAGATATTCCAACAGTAAGGAAAGAGATTTGGAGATTATACAGTAGTTTCGCTAAGCCTACCCAGCGACCGATATACGCCCAACTCCTTTGATCACATCAATATTACCATCGCCATCAACACACTTTACTTTCCACCACCGATCACGCCCACTGTCCTCCGCTGAGCCGTACCCCTACAGACAGGCGTCTCATCTCGTATCGCCTGCGGCGGAATGCGATACATGACCAGATACTCACCGTAATGCAACCACTCCTCTGCTACCTCCTTGCCACCAGCGGCATCCTTTAGCAGGTCCGCAGCGCGAAACACTGGACCTCTAGCAAAGTGCGCGGGATCCACGGTAACAACCCAGGTGTCCTCGCCATAACGCTCTCCGAAATGCTTGGCGACGGCTTCCGCATGAGCTAGGTTGTCATACACGCTGATGAAGGGGGAAGAGATGTTGGTTTGTTGGTTCAGGTGGGCGAGACCGAAACGGGATAGTGCGGATGTGTAGTTGACGATGGTGGTTTGGTTCTTGGAACTGAAGCCGGTGGAGAAGGCGTAGCGGGTCTGCGAGCTGGTGCGATGAACGCGGTAGACCAGTGTCGGGATGGCAGTTGGGGCGGGCGGTGATGCCGGTGACGCATGGATCGGGTGGGGTTGTGTAAGGGTGTATAGTGCTAAGTGAACGTCAGTGTATTGTTTCGGAATGTCTGTGGGGGTTGAAATGCTTACCTGTCATGATGGAGTTGTACTTGATGTGTCTTCAAAACACCGGGTCGGAGCGAATATGAGATGTTGCTGACTGGATATACTGTCCACGTCAAACCCACTTCTAGTGTCTTTGAGGTCTACTGAAAGTAAGTGACAGACGACTCTGAAAAGGTGATTGTATGATGGAAGCTGTTACGTTTAGAAAGAAGTCTTTTATGCCTCCATATGTCAGTCGAACGTACAGTCCCAAGAGACCGGTCAATGAGGCCGTTCAAACAGTACAAATGCATTTGAATCAGGAGTTCGTTGGTCATGTTGACTTTCCTTCCGCCGACGGGCATGTACATCGTTTCGTCTGTTCGAGTGTTGACTACCCGAGAGTCAACAAAGAGACAACGAGATCCCACGCTCGGTGCCGTCGGCAGGCCCAACCGGGTTGTGGGGACGGTCACAATACATTTAGTCCTGAGGTACCGTACCGTTGCTACCTCTTTCGTTTGGTGACGGGGGTAAGGCCAGGTGCATGTGGAACGAATCGTCGGTGTCATTGCTTCGAATGCCCTTTCTTCATCGCTATCCGTTTGGTATGCAGATCGCGGTATCTTGCATGACCGCATAATGCGGATTGTGCATCAGGCGTATCGACGCGAAGGTCCTCTTAACGAGGCACGTTTGGACCTCTAGTGTACTCCGATGCGGAGAACAGCGCCATGAATGATGGTTTGAGACCCCCGTGATAGCGGATATAAAGTGATGGGCTATTGACGGAAGGTGCATCAGAAAACACATGACTGCAGACATAGGGGGTTTGGTGTTTGGCAAGAATACTAGATTCGACATGGAGACGTCATCTTTCCAAAAATCTGCCAGGAAAAAGACTGGACGAAAGATAGAATTTTTGAGACATGGCTTTCTGTGCCGCTGGAAGCGTCAAAGCATCGGACCGATGTGTCGTTTCCTGGAAATCCGATATTGGGGTCGTACAGCCAAACGGGCAGACGCATCCAGTGGAGCGTCAGGCATCACATCCTATTTGCCGTATGCACCGTATTGTAGAAAGGGACGTGCAGTCCCTCCCGAGTACCGAATGCACATCGGGGATGGAAATTCACAGTACCGCATCCAGGGGCGCGGGAGGAAGGCGGCCCGCGTGGAGTAGTGACGACACCTGTCGATAGGTTCTCACCGCTCCTTCTCCAGACGGCGCCGGTGGAATCGAGCTGACCATAACACGATTGACATTCATGATGGAAGATGGGTGCGAAGACAGGAGTGAAGGTCCCACAAGTGGTTCGGCATCCGCCCCGCGTGGGCCTAAGCTATTTCGGGACAAGCGTCGCATTCCGAGGTCTCCAGAAGTCCGAAAAGTTGGTGGTGACAATGGCAGGCGCGCAGGCGGGCATCAACGTTACATCGCCACACAAACGGTATGTGAAGCTGCTCAAGACATAAACACTTCAATCTGACGTCTCGGTAGCTACATTAACTCCGTGTCGCCGCGGAGCCCACGCCAAACGCCACACCAAACCCATCCAAAGCCACTCGCAAACGCACCGAGACCTTGCATCGAAGCCACCAACTCTCTACATCACATACCCACCATGTCTTATTTCCGGATAACACTCATGCGCTCCGGCATCGGTATGCCCGAGAAGACGCAAGGAGTGCTCAAGGCGCTCGGTCTCCGCAAACGCATGACGACTGTCTACCACCCCGTTACACAATCTGTCGCTGGTCAGATCATGAGGATAAAGGAATTGGTCGATGTCAAGGAGGTCAAGAACCCAATGACGAAGGACCAAATGCGCGCTGCGAGGAGACCGGATCCGGGGTACTACATCGAGCAGAGGGCGGGCGAGGCTATGGGGGCGTACGAATAGACAGAACGAGATGGGAAGAAGATATGCTCTTCACGTGTAAAGTAAGGTACGAACATGTATACATCTACGGCGTTCTGGAATACATGGCGTGGGACATACTATGCTGCACGGTCACTTGAGACCGAGGCTGATGTGCAGCGAGTATCATCTACCTGGTCATACAGTCATCGACTCTGAAACTTCGTCTTTCCCAAGGATAGGAAGACAATTTGCATACTTTTTTGCCGCCAATCTCTTTTACAGCTGGACTTCAGAAGTCCGGACACTCGAGCTTCACGTGTCCTATCGCATAAACCGGTCAACAACTTGGAGCACCATATCGCATTTCAATTCGTTGCCGGATACGCCTCATTCGATTGCGCATATGGACGCTAACAAACAGCTGAGGTTCATCCAATCAAATCCTTGCCATAGACAGCTAATGAGCTGCAGCTGACATATGACAAATGATGGCTGAAGACCCTCCGCTCCAGGCTCCATTCCAAGCAACAGCTTTGATCAGTTTCACGACTTACTACAGACCTTGCGAGTGAAATCCGAGCTTGGATTCTGAATCATCAACAATTTGCTCTGTTATCCTCTCCACGCTGCGCCAGAATGGACACTGGGCGCGCGCCTTACATGAAAAGTCGTCTTCAGCCTTTGCCCGACTCTGATTGTCGCTACCCTACGACCGATAACTCTGATAGGGCATACGATCGAAACAATCCCCCGTCTGTTCCCCAGCCTCGTGGATATCACAATTTCGCCGCGGTTGTGCGTCCTATCCCGCGTCCTACCGGGCGTCGTCCGATCGTTATACACAATGGGATGGAAAGTTACGTTCCTCTTGCACACAAAGGCCATCAAAATCTTCGAAGGTCATCTCCCGCAGATAATGTACCGAAACATCGCTCCGAGCGCTTATATTCCGAAGTATCCGCTGTTGAGCTTCCTTCGGCAGTGAGGGCCAGTTCTCCCGGGTTATGCAAAACGAAGAAATTCGTCTACAGAGCCTTGCAGGCACCAACCGATTTCCGACTGGTCAAATTACTTCCCAAGAACACATCCAAATTAGAGTGTGAGATAATACACACTTCTCTCCTCAACCCCCCATGGTACGTGGCGATCTCATATGCATGGGGGGACGGATTCGATAAGAAAAGCATTACCTTGGAGGGCGATGATAATTTTGTAGTTCACGTCAGCCTTCACGATGCCTTAATGGCCATTCGTATATGGGACCGACCCATTTTCGTTTGGATAGATGGGCTCTCGATTGATCAAGGGAATGAGAAGGAGTGTGCCGCGCAGGTTCAATTGATGGATCAAATCTATACGAAAGCGACATACGTTGCCATTTGGCTTGGTCCGGAGATGGATGATAGTGCGCGGGCAATACGAGTGTTGGAGGAAATGAGAGACGGAAGACGAGCCAGTGAATGGATCGATATGGTAGACCAGGGCGATCGTGTAGCCTTGCATTCCCTTTTCGATAGAGACTACTGGAAACGGCTCTGGGTCGTGCAAGAGATCTACCACGCACGCATGAAAGTGGTCTATTGCGGCTCTTCCGTTCTCCCTTGGCACCTACTCAAGCAGACCTCGGACGCTCTTTGGCAACACGAAAGCGACCCTTACTTATGGACTGGACCAAGTAGTTTCCCAGATGTTAAGCGCCTTGTGAAGCTAGGCCCGGACTCTCTGCTCGAAGTCTTGCGCGCATGTCGAAGGAAACTCAGTGGAAACCCACGAGACAAGATCTTCGCTGTACTAGGTCTACTGCCAAGCAGCGTGTGGGAAGATCTTCAAGTCAGATACGACAAATCTGTCAAATCGCTGTACCTTGATGTTGCCGCACTGATCATCCGTTCTACAGGTCGCCTCGACATGATACGCGAAGCGATCCACTTCCCCTCTCACGTCAGCTCTGCCAACTTACCCACATGGTGTCCCGACTGGGCAATTGTGCCAGAAACATCCTCTTTGAGTGCAAGAGACTACTCTGCAGCAGGAAACATCCATGCTCAATGCAATCTCACGGACGGATTGCGGAAGCTTGAAATATCTGCCATTGAACTGGACGTAATAGACACAACTGGGATGGCAGTGGGTACACTGTGCGCGTTGCAGGATTATCTAATGGCATTTCTGAACTGGCGGGCGCTGCTTCTCTCCTCTTTCCATATTGAGAAAGGCAAAGAAACATCGCACCCATGCGTGGAAGTATTTTGCTTGACCCTTTCGCTGGGTCATATACTCACAGGATGGCAGGCCTGCTGGACAGAGGCTTGCTACCACGTCTTCTCTTCACTAACCCAAGAACGATTTCCACATCTTGAGCTCGATCACAGCTTCAAACAACATCAAGCGTCCGGTACGATGGCATGGAACGAGCGGCGGCTATTCATACAGAAGCACTTCGGTGATCGAATGGTAAGTGTAGTCTTGCCTTTTGTTATTGCTGCGTGGCACATGTCTGTGTGCTGATCCCGTTGAACTGTGCTAACGTCAAGTCTCGACTACAGATGGGCAGAACCTTCTGCATCACGAGGGCTGGATTGTTAGGGATGGGAACTGGCTTCATGAGACACGATGACATCGTCGTAGTGCCGTTTGGTTGTTCTACACCTATCTTACTCCGTGCCGAGGGTCAGAGCAATGAGTTCAGATACGTTGGGGACGTATATGTTCATGGTTATATGCATGGGGAGGCATTGACGAGTGGCAAGCTGGCCAAAAAGTACACGCTTCACTGAATTGTCGACATCCCATCGAATAATTCCACCAAAGAGCAAACAGGATTCTACGCAACCACCACAGGCCCAATACCAAACAGATCCAACTCCCTATTCTGCACCCAAACACCCCTCGCGATATTCCTCCCAACCCATGGTTCAAGGCTCCACCCCAACGCACCCACCATCCACAAAAAGCCGACCACGCGCCAAAACAACCCATCCTTAAACCCCATCGCCTTCCCCAAGTCAATAAGATGATCTTCCACCATGATAATCGCCGCCTGCAACAAAAAGCACTTCAACGCGCCATCGTCATCAAACTCGCAATTCACCAACATACTCGCGACCCCATGCACCAACCCCGAAATACCAAACGCAACGAAAAGCTGAACATACTTAGACGCAAAAGACCCCTTGCGCAAACCCAGCACATCCCTCGCTAACCAAACACTAAGAGGAGAGCAAATACGGCGACATTGCTGGTGCCACACTACCGACCACGCGCTGCGCACACTGTACAAATCGCGGAATCTTCCAAACATGGAGGGGCAGTCTCGTGGGTTGGCGAGACCGGTGGCTACGGATACAACGCCGTAAGCGATGTTGTAGAACTCCATGGTGGTGAATGTGAGCATGATGTGAAGCCAAGTGTAGTAGAAGCGCGTGAGGAAGGGCGAGTCAACTGGGAAGGGCTGATGTGGTTTCTGCGTGCGGATATCGATCCAGGAGCCGTGGGGGGATGCCGCGGAGTGGCAGACTATAATGTCTTTTACGACGAAGAAGATGAGGCCGCGTACGAGTTTTCGGGCGATGAATTTGCTTGGTTGGGTTAGCTGGTGCGGGGATGATGGGTTGGGGGTAGACTCACAGACGAGGGTAATCGCCCGGTACCTCCATGCACACATTCTTGACTTGGCAACTCCACCCCGTGTAACGGTTCGATGTTGAGAGACGAAGTGCCCACCATGCTCGGCTCCAGAAACTTCTCCCTGCACCACCGGGTCTGCCCCTGTAATCCAGCTTCTTTACATCGTCATTCTTCTTGTCATTTCCTTCCTTCCCATATTGTAGCTTGTACCACCCATCTTTGTCGGGGCTCCCCAGTAAGATCCAGTCAACATAGGTGAACACACGAGCGCCCACTCCACAGTTGATTGCTAGGTTGTAGCCCCAGCCTGCATCGCCCCATTCTCGATACAAAGATTGGGCGGCGAGTAGAAGGAGAAGAGGGAGAGTGATAGAGATGCGTATGAGGCGATGATCGGGTCCGGTAGCAAGGGTGAGGATGTTGAGTAAGTAGAGAAGAGGAACCTGTAATGTAATGATGATATCGGGGAGTTTGAAAAGAGACATTCCTATAATGCCGGCTCCACAATCCAGGAGATGGCAAGACTGGACTTACTAGGCATCGGTACATTGCGGCATACCACGGAATTTATATAGAGTAGGATATGATGCTTTGACCGGCCGTAAGATCTTAGTGGCCGTGGGTCAATTGGGGATCCCTACATGCTGGCTTGGCCCAATGAGAGGGGTTCGAGTACGTTAGCGCTAAGGTCCGTGATTTCGGGATAATGTCCCTGACTAGTGCAGATGGATAGCGGGTAGACGGTCGTGAACTGTCATTTTTAACCGCAATGTGGTCTTGAGAATTGGTATCATTACAATGCTATAGTCGTGGTTGTAGTCAATGCTGCAGATCGGTAGCCAGGTCGACACGCTGTGGCATTCCACATTTGACCTGTCCTCTCAGCACCTCTACTAAATCTCCACATCTTGAAAACTGGCCCCATCGCCATCGTCTTCAGCTGATGCTTGGCCTGGCTTTGGTCGCTGTGGTAAACTTGCTTCCAGAGATTTCTCGTCGTTGGGCTCAGGCTCAGATTCGTCCTCTTCGCTATCCTCTTGCTGTTGTTCCTTCCCGTTTTGCGGCTTGAGATCCTCGGTTCGAGCCTTTTGCTCTTCTGTCTGCGTCTTCGGTTCCACTGAGTTTCGCTCGCTCTTCTCGCTCACGTCGTCTTTGGGTGGCGGAGGGGGTGGTGCTGCACCGTCGGTATCGCGGTCACGCCTCGGTTGCTCGGGTGTAGGTGGTGTCACCTCGGTGCGCGGGCTCATGATGGGACTTCTGGGTTGCTGCTGCTGTTGTTGCTGAGGCTGCTGTTGTGATTGCTGGGCGGGTTGCTGGGAACCTCCCGGGCCGACGCTTCGTAACCTGGGGTCAGCGTTCAGGTAGTATCCCCTCACACCGACAATCCTGCCCTCCCTCTCGCAGCCTATGAC